GTTAGGACAGGTTGTGTTGGTTTTTGGGCTGCAGCCTACCCTGAACTAGAACCATAAAAGGTTATACTGCAGCCCTTAATTGTTGGATTCCTGGTGCAAACCTCCATGCAGGAGTTAACTACATAAACCTGTACCTAATGATTGCTTGGAGGGTGTAACCAGCAGGCCTTAAGTAAATGGTGTTTGCCTCTTGGACAGCAGCAGCCTACATTTACCACAGGGAATGCTTGGACTTGCTCCTACTAGCTATAAACCTACTCCTTATGTCAGTGTGTGCGGGAATTCACTGAGATGCACGACTAAATATGCAGCATTAGGATGACTCCTAGTTTGCACCTATTCCAAACCAAACTCTTCGGTACGGTTCAAGCCTAGTGGTGGAAACTATATCTATTGCTGGTTGCCAACAGCTACTACAATGGTGCATTCACCTTAGATTTCCATCACCCAGGACCGTCCACTGGATGGATGGATAAAGGATCTTTACCTTTTACCTTGTCTGGTAGGACACAGCGATCACAGACAGCATGGGGATTGCGCGTCGCTGGGGGCACGTTCTGAGAGGACGTCATGATGCCCTCCCAGAACAGGACAACCGTGCTGTAGCCATCATTCGGCTATATAAAAATTAGATTTGCTGTGCTGCCGTGCTATTACTGTGGGAGTGTTGTGTAATACTACAATGCACCTCCCTAATCAATGTGTTCTAATGTGTTCCACTTTCTATTGTGCTTGTAAAAATAATAAATACCTATTTTCAATGTGTCTGTGTGACTTTAACCTAATAGGTACTATGATACACTACCCTCTAAAGGGGGTATACCTCTAATAAAGTTTTTTGTTGCTTATGGTGATTTGTGCATACAAATACCCTTAAACCATGAAAATTATATAAAAATAACGGGGACTACAATACACATCCCCCTAAGTTACTATGAACCTAGTGCACGGTGTTGTGAACACCTGTGTGCAAACCTACTAGTGCAGACAAGCTTAATAATCCTGAAAACATACAAAATTGAATGCACAAATCAGTTCATGAAAATAAAGTCCAGGTGCTATAAAACACCTTCCAAAACAAAATGATCAACGTGATATAGTGGCAATTTGGTGATCTTGCCAGCCAGCAGACAACGGTGCTCCACTCGTGCTCCCCCTCCAGAGCCCCACTCACCGCAAGGCATTGACCACCTGTGTAAAGGTAGATCAAAAGACGCTTTTGGGTGCTTTAACCAGCCCCTAGGGTGATTGTGTCCTGTACCCTAAACTGCCACTGCCCTCTGAACCTTGAGTCCTCTTGTAAGAAAACACTTAAAACAGTCACAATACTCCTAATCCGCAGTAAAGCAATCAAAGGAAGACTTCCGTAGTGTTTATACCATGTTTATTGCATAAAACCACTTAAAAATGCACTTACATGTAGCCCATATATATGGCACTTTAAAAACAAATGTGTTCCCAGGATGCTTGCGTAGACCGGATGTGCCGCTGCTATCCCCGCCCAATGCGATTTGTCTTGACGTCATCAGGAGTGGAGCTAGATCGCCCCACTGGAGTTCTATATTTGCAGACTAGTCTTATAGCAACAAGTAAAATACCTAATAGCTGCCATGATGTTGTAGTCCTGGTCAGCCGTTGTTGTAGCGGCTGCTATGATGTGTTAGTCTGCCTATACATCTTAATCCGGATACTAAAAACCATGTTGCTGGGGAATAACTTTCATATCCCTAGCTGGCCAAAACGTGCTTAAACCCAGGCAAATAAAGCAGGTGGGCAGATATCCTGATAGTTCATCCTCAGACCAATGCGGCGCTAATATGTAAATCATGGCACTCCTAGCAAGAAAAATAATTTCCTAAAGACAACCATGATATTGTAGTCCTGGCGGCCGCCATGTTCTTATAGCAGTTGCCATGATATAATGGTCTGTCCATATACCTTAGTGCAAATGTTGGAAGACCTATTGCTAGAGGGTAAAAACTTCCCATCCCTAACTGGCCCAAACATATATGTATCCCTGGGATCATCAAATGTCCCGGTGTGTTACACAGCCCTCAACATAGAACTTTGGTATGTTAATTATGACACCCACTCCATAGGATTCTGGGCACCATATGACTAAAATTAATATGGCGTATTGAGGAAAACAACGCACACCCAATGAGCCAACAATACTTTTGAACACCGCTTTGACGTGTCCCACACCAGAGCAATGTCCATCCCCAAACTTCCAGGTTGCCAATCTACCAATTGCCTTGATGGAAAATAAGGGGGAGGGAGCTGTATTTAAATATCCCATAAAAAATACAATAGATACCCCTCGTGCAACGGTGAGGTCTCTAATTCCATGAAAAATATCAATAAAATATGATTAAAATAGCATATAACACATATGTTTAATACATTGGTTGAGACTATACAAGGGTGAAATATGCCCTTGGATATAGAAATAGACATGTCCACCAAAATATGTGGGCAACCATATGTAGATGCATGGACCTGGAAAAAACAGACCCTTCATAATATAATTGGTTACATTTGTGAAAACTTAGTCTAGATGGCATATCAGTGGGATTCCCTGGTACCAAGAATCAAGTCCATAATTGGAAATGAAACAATTAAGGTCAATATCCACATTAAGGCCTCTTGACAACATAGATCCCATTTCATGTATCTACTTGGTTTTGTTCCCGGAAAACTAGAATGCTCTCATATTGCTTCCCCTCCAATGTGATGTGACCCTGTCAATACCATAGAAGGTCATTTTGCTAGGATCTTTTTAATGTAATTCCCTAAAGTGTCTTGACAAACTGCCTTTTGTAACCCTTTTTGATATTGTTATTATGTTCTCTGAGAAATACTGTGTGAGCTGTATATATAGGGAGCTCTACTAGACAGCTTTCCACCAGAATCAATGGCTGCAAGAATGCAGACAGAGATTAAGAGAAATGATTGTTTTTACATCCTATATGGGTGTAAAAGCAATCACTGTAAAAAAAAAAAAAATCTTCATCACCCCCCACAAGTAGTACAGTGTCACCATAGTGACACTGTACTGCTAGGGTGACGGTATGTAAAAAAAAATAAATAAATAAATATTAAAAAATAAAAATGTAAAAAAAAGTTTAAAAATTATTTTTGGTTATAACTAATTTGGCGTAAAAATTTTTTTTTTTTTTTTTTTTTTACTAAAAAGATAACGGAACCAATTTTGGACAAGATTCATGATGAAATATTATTTATTTGCAAAATTTTTATAAGAAAAACACTTTTTTTTCTACATTTTTGGACTTTTTCATTTATATAGCAAAAAAAATAAAAATCCCAGCAGTGAATAAATACCACCAAAATAAAGCTTTATCTGTCTCAAAAAAATGGTAAAAAATTCATACGGGTACAGTGTTGCATGACCGCGCAATTGTCATTCAAAGTGTGATAGGGCTGAAAGCTGAAAATTGCCCTGGTCAGGAAGGGGGTAAAAGTGTCCGGACTGGAAGTGGTTAAGGCACAGCATGGAATGTTATGCTTATGTCTCTCTGATCTGTAACCGACATCTGCACATTAACCTCCTTAGCGGTGTTTCCCGAGTGTAGCTCGGGGTAGAATTTCTATACCACAAGCGGTAACCCCGAGCTACACTCGGGCTTACCATGCGGCGCTGCTCTGGGGGTCCCTGCAGCACTTACCTTGTCCTTCGTTCCCACGATGTGTCCCCTGCAGCGTCCCCGGCCATCTCCTCCGGCCGATGCCGGCATCCGGCTTCTGTGTTCCGGTCCCCGTGACGTCGGGACGTACGGGCGCCGCCGGCGGCGGGAAATTTAAAAAAAATTTAAAAAATGTCTTTTTTTTTTTTTCAATTTTAAATAGTAAAACATTGCTGTTTCATCCCATTTCACATACATTTTGTCCCGAGTGCTTTGCCCTGTGCCCTGTCTGCATTTTGTCTGTTCTTTCTGCCTGGAAACTTAGAAAAGTCCATGGCGTCCAAAAAGCGTCCATTTACGTCAAAAGCGTTTTTAGACCGGCTAGAGAACAGCGATAGTAAATCAGAACCACTTGCAGAATTGAGTGATAATGATTTGTGGGGAAATTTTCCTAAAAATTACAGCCTACAATAAAAAAAATATTTCCATGCGAAAAAATGGTACCGCTTTCAGCACAAAAAATCAGAAGGAATCATACCGCCAAGGAGGTTAAAAGTACACAACAATGAGGTTTATCTTGTGTATTTTTTGTTTTACGCTAGTTAGATTGCCTGGCTAGCCGCGCATCAGAAGCATACAACATGGAAGCTAGAGTTGGATCTTTTCTATTTGTTGGCTTATCTTGCAGTACATCAGAAATACACCACATGGGAGTTCGTGGGTACTTTCAGTCGATGTGTATTTCTGGTGTGTCACATCAGAAAACACAACGTTGGAGTCGCTGCTTGTGTCCTTTCGGGTAAATCTGTTGTCTTGTGCTGTGCACCAGAAACGCACAATCTATGACCTTTATGTTTGTGATGCTAACTATACATATCACTCTGGTTTTTTTTGAAAGCTGATATAGGACATAATTTAAGTCATGTAGCACCTTTCTTAGTAAGAATTTACTTCATTGGGTAACTTCAGAATTTATGACTTTATGGGCGTTTTTGTAGTTTTTCCCACAGAAGTATTATGACCCGAAGTATAAGAATTTACCAATCCGACCCGTATAACTGGTCTGATAGGTTACAGTTCTAGATGTGACCGTGGTGCAGAACATGATGTAGCAAGCTAATATGAATGTCCAGTTGCTGCTATGGACTTAACTACTTCCAGTCCAGGGCACTTTCCCCTCCTTCCAGTCTGGACACTTTCCCCTCCTTCCAGTCTGGACACTTTCCCCTCCTTCCAGTCTGGACACTTTCCCCCCCTTCCAGTCTGGACACTTTCCCCTCCTTCCAGTCCGGACACTTTCCCCTCCTTCCAGTCCGGACACTTTCCCCTCCTTCCAGTCCGGACACTTTCCCCTCCTTCCAGTCCGGACACTTTCCCCTCCTTCCAGTCCGGACACTTTCCCCTCCTTCCAGTCCGGACACTTTCCCCTCCTTCCAGTCCGGACACTTTCCCCTCCTTCCAGTCCGGACACTTTCCCCTCCTTCCAGTCCGGACACTTTCCCCTCCTTCCAGTCCGGACACTTTCCCCTCCTTCCAGTCTGGACACTTTCCCCCCCTTCCAGTCCGGACACTTTCCCCCCCTTCCAGACCGGACACTTTCCTCTCCTTCCAGTCCGGACACTTTTACCCCCCTTCCTGTCCAGGGCACTTTTCAGCTTTCAGCGCTATCACACTTTGAATGACAATTGCGCGGTCATGCAACACTGTACCCAAATGGATTTTTTACCATTTGTTTGAGACAGATGAAGCTTTATTTTGGTGGTATTTATTCACCACTGGGATTTTTATTTTTTTTGCTATGTAAATGAAAAAGTCCAAACATTTTGGAAAAAAGTGTTTTTTTTGTATAAAATTTTGCAAATAAATAATATTTCATCATAAATCTTTGCCAAAATTTATTCCGTTATCTTTTTAGTAAAAAAAAAAATCCAAATTAGTTTATAACCAAAAATTATAATTTTTAAACATTTTTTTTTTTTTTTTTACATTTTTATTTTATTTTTTATTATTATTATTATTATTTTTTTACATACTGTCACCCTAGCAGTACAGTGTCACCATGGTGACACTGTACTACTTGTGGGGGGTGATGAAGATTTTCTTTTTTTTTTTTTTTTTTTACACTGATTGCTTTTACACCCATATAGGATGTAAAAGCAATCATTTTCTCTTTCTCTCTGTCTGCATTCTTGCACTCATTGAGAAGTACTGAGTGAGCTGTGATTGGTCAGAGCTTGTCACATAGTACAAGGCTGTTGTGAATAGCCTTGTACCATGTGACCTCTGTGATCATTCACAGATTTCACACGTAGTAAGCAATGATGTCACAAGTGACATCTTGCTTACTACTTTGCATATGATCACTGATTGGCCAATCAGTGATCACATGATCAGGACCTCGTACAGAGGTCCCGTCCGACGATCGGTGTTTCACTGTGTCTGGAGGACACAGCGGGCACCGGATCGCAGTGCTGCGCGCTCCCAGGGAGCGCACACAAGCAGGGTGCGGGGAGACAGTTTATAAACAGCCACCTGACCCTGCACTGCCACCATCCGGCCGTTATATGCAACTGCCGGTCGGGAAGTGGTTAATCTCTGGAAGCGGGGATCTGCTTAATTTAACATTCACCGGTACCAGTAGGCACCCAATGGTGTTGGAATGGAATCAGGTTTCAGACATCTGGCAGGACACCCAATATTTGTGGAATAGTTCCAGTCATTTATGTACCAAGCTCCTTTCTGCTTAATTTATCTGCATTCTACTGCAGGTGTATAGGGATCTTCGGTGTTTGTGTGTGGAGCACTCCATAAGTGGGCTGCCTTTTTAGCCATCACTATGACAAAAAAAAAAAAGGTTCCACAAAGTGTCAGGGAGCCTTTCCTAAATAATTTGTGTGTACAGAGTAGCGTTTAGCAGGATCCTCTTTGTTTGCCCTAGTAGTGTCCTTGTTTCACAGGACAAGTTACCGCTTAGTCCTTTAACCTCCCTGGCGGTTTGATTATTTCAGATTTTTGGTGCTGAAAGCGGTACCATTTATTTGCATGGAAATATGTAGTTTTTTTATTGTAGGCTGTAATTTTTAGGAATAACTCCCTGAAATCTGTCCGAACAAGAGTCTAGTAAACATCCCGGGGATGATAAAATTTGAAACAAGAAATCATAAATTATAATTTAATAAATAATCATAAAAAATAATAATATAATAATAAATTTAATTCAATAATTTAATCAAAGCAAAAACACTGAAATTTGAAATACAGAGGCAAATTCGCACATCGCTGAGCAAAGTCGCAAAATCGTTTTCAGTGTCTGATGACGAATTTCCCCACAAATCATTATCACTCAATTCTGCAAGTGGTTCTGATTTACTATCGCTGTTCTCTAGCCGGTCTAAAACCGCTTTTGACGTAAAGGGACGCTTTTTGGACACCATGGACTTTTCTAAGTTTCCAGGCAGAAAGAACAGTAAAAATGCAGGCAGGGCGCCGGACAAAGCACTCGGGACAAAATGTATGTGAAATTCATTGAATTAGCAATGTTTTACTATGAAATAATCATTTAAAAAAAAATGACATTTTTAAAAATTTCAAATTTGCCGCCGGTTCCTGCGCCCGTACGTCTCGACGTCACAGGGACCGGAACACGGAAGCCGGATGCCGGCATCGGCCAGAGGAGATGGCCGGGGACGCTGCAGGGGACACATCGTGGGAGCGAAGGACAAGGTAAGTGCTGCAGGGACTCCCTGAGCAACGCCGCATGGTAAGCCCGAGTGTAGCTCGGGGTTACCGCTCTTGGTACTCAAATTTTACCCCGAGCTACACTCGGGAATACCGCTAAGGAGGTTAAGGGGTCCTAAGAAGTGGTTACAGGCAGGAAAAGCCATGAATGAATTTTGTAGATTGGAGAGGTCCCCTGTCGGAACCATCTAGCACAGTTTCTTCTGATTCCATCAGCTTTATAAGTAAGAGCACACTCCACTAGATCCAGCATCGGGGCAAAGAAGGCAGGACATCAGTAGAGCAGATTAGCCATAGAGTCCAGCCAAGATGCCTTCATCGGATGTTTATATAGCGAAGATACGCTCAAACAAGGACCTGGCATTTGGCAGGAAGGTCCTGCAGGCAGTGGTCCCATCATAAGGCAGGCCTGCGAATACTTGATTATACTCTCAGGTGTGCTGTCCTGGAAGGTGAGAATAAATACAACTGTTAGACTTACTGGTAATGGTATTTCTATGAACCTTCCAGGACGGCAGGCCAACTTCCCACCCTATTAAGAGTTGCGAAAAACTCCTAAAAGTGGAAAGTTGAGAGTACCTATGTAGAAATATTCCCTATGTGGACCAGTTTCGGGAGCTACTTTATTACAAACTGAGGATCAAGTGGAAAGGTTAACAGCTGTCAATTCGATTGTGTTTCCTGTAGGGAGGAGCCTCTCATCTTTCAGGTGTGCCGTCCTGGAAGGTTCATAGAAATACTGTTACCAGTAAGTTGTATTTTGTATGAATGATTGTTTTCTTGAATCCGTTGGATTCACAGAACCCACATAATTTTCTGCCCTTCATATTTTCTGCAATTGGCTGCATCTTTCTCTTAAAATTTATAGCTACACCATGGCAAGAGTAGGGCTTATAACCAGGGATCTGGTGGCTCCCCCTTCCCCCAAGAACTGAGGGAGAGATTTTACAGTCAATACAAAACCCCTTTTTTATGTTGTTGTATTTTTTGTAGAGACAACAATAGTTAAGTGTTGTTGCATGGCGACCACTTCCTGTTATCTCACATATATATTCTTATTATTATAGCCAAATTTACCCCCCTAACTCCTCCCACAGTTTTTACACTACATAGACAGTAATATACCGAAACGTGCGGATTGTTCCCGATTGGTGTGCTATTACTTTGTGGAACGTTTCGCCGAATGTTTCAGGAATATTGACGTTTTTGTGGTGAAATTGGTCCCATAGGAATGAATGGCGGAATGTTCAAAACTAGAGTGGGAGCTGACAAAAGCTAGAGTGTGAGCTGAAAAATCAGGACATGATTTCTAAACTGCCATCACTCCCTCATTTTCAAGCCCACCTACACAAATCTTATATCAAAACGTTCAGCTATCCCTGCTGCCACTAAAAATGTCCACGGCTAAGCCATAGTCCTGATAGTTTTCACAATATGACCATTTGTTTGCAACTCATGCCGCCCATTGACTTTTCACAGTTACTCCAGCCACTCCAACCACACAACAGTTACTCCACCCACTCCACCCAGTTACTCCGCCCACTCCAGTTGTAGACTACTGGTGGAGGCAAGAACACTTCACACAATTTCCCCAGAAATTTTAGCTTTTCTAGTTATTCTGTTATCATTATTACAGGTACTTATATAGCGTCGCCTGTTTATGCAGACCTTTACACATTTGTACATTCACATCAATCCCTAACCCTCAAGGAGTTTACAATCTAAGGTCTCCAACTCGCATTCATATATATGTAGTACATACCAGGGGCGGACTGACAACTCATGGGGCCCCCGGGCAATAGGGGATCATGGGGCCCCTGTGTCCTTGCCCAAACTCAAAAAAGCCTATGAAAAAGGTACCAGGGGCATCTCATGGGGCCCCCTACTGACCCCGGGCCCTCGGGCAGTGCCCGAGTTTCCAAATGGTCAGTCCACCCCTGGTACATACTAAGGCCAATTTAGACAGGAGACAATTAACCTACCAGCATGTCTTTGGAATGCGGGAGGAAACCTACACAAAGCACAGGGAAAACATGCAAACTCTAGGCAGGTAGTGTCATGGTTGAGATTTGAACAGATGACCCCGGTGCTGCTAGACAGAAGTGCTAACCACTGTGCTGTAGCAAGTGTTCACTTTTTTCTTTTCTATTACATTCCCAGTTTGGATATATCGCCACAGAATGTTGATGTCAATGTTCATCCAACAAAGCATGAAGTTCATTTTCTACACGAAGAAAGCATTATCGAGAAAGTTCAGCAACACATAGAGAGCAAATTGTTGGGATCAAATTCTTCAAGGATGTTCTTTACCCAGGTAACTCATGTTAATGTTTGCTTTTGAGTCCTCAATTGTGGCTAAAGGTCCTTTGCCAGGGCACATGCAGCATGGTTTTAGTTGCTTCTAACTTGCATTTAGAGATGCTTTTTACTTTACAGGTTCTCCTGACTTATATCAAATTTGCTTCTGCTTTTTTATTGACCTGTTTGGAGGGAAAAGCAGCTGTGATGCCAACAAGACTATAAACACATCCCATACAGGAATGTTGTGCAAATCAGCAAAAAAAAAGACCTGACATTTGATTCTAACTCTTCCTCACTTTATGCCAAACTAATTAAGAGTTGACTTTAGATAAATCTGCACGTTTTTACAGTTATAAATCAAAAATATATTTAATGCACTGTGTGTGCTCCTAAATGGGGGTTTGTTTGTAATCCTCTGTTTAACCATTCAATACCGGGCACTTTTACACCTTCCTGCCCAGGCCAGTTTTCAGGTTTCAGCGCTCTCACACTTTGAATGACAATTGCGCGGTCATACAACATTGTACCCAAACTAAAATTTTATAATTTCCTTCACACAACTAGAGCTTTCTTTTGGTGGTATTTAATCACCGCTGGGGTTTTTATTTTTGCTAAATTAACAAAAAAAAGACCAAAAAGTTTGAAAAAAAAAAAAGTTTTTCTTTGTTTCTGTTATAAGTTTGCAAATAATTGTTCTTCATAAATTTAGGCCGAGATGTATTCTGCTACATGTCTTTGGTGAAAATAACCCAAATTAGGATGTATTATTTAGTTTGTAGGAAAGTTATAGAGTTCACAAACTATGGTATAGATCTGAATATTGATCAATCGTGAAGTACTGACAGCCAATCTAATTTCTGGAGGTCCAAGAATGTCAGAATAGTACAGATATCCCCAAATGACCCCTTTTTGCAAAGTAGACAGTCCGATGTACTTCATAAGAGGAATGGCGAGTTTTTTGAAGCTGTAATTTTTTTTGTCATTTTTCGGAAAATGAAAAAATTAAAATTAGTTTCACTATTCTTTTTTTACATACTGTCACCAGTGCAGTACAGCGTCATCATATAACTGGCATGGCGGTGATCAGGGACACTGACTGGTGACAGTATAGAAAAAAAAAAATATATATATTATTTATTTTTTTTATTACTTTTTTTTCTTTTTCTTTAAGATTTTTTTTTTTCATATTTCACTATGACCAAAGTAGTACAATGTTACCATAGCAACATTGTACTACTTTGGGGAAGTGATCAGTATTGTTTTTTTTTTTGTTTTTTTTTTTTACACAATTTGCTTATAGCAAAGAATTACTTCTTTGCTATAAGCAAGCATTTACCTGAATGACATCGATTCATTCAGGTTTTGTTTTTTTTTTTTTTTTTTGTTTTTTTTTGTGCTTAGCTGTGATTTAGCCACAGCTAATCACATGATGTGCATGTGACCTGCTGTGACCATTCACAGCTAGGCAGTAGTATACAATGGATGGCATGAATGAAGCCATCCATTGTATACAACTGTCATGTGACCTGCTGCAATTGGTCACAGCAGGTCACATGGTACCGGCAACGAGGTACACGGCCGGTGACAGATCGCGCCGCTCTGCAGGCGCGCAATCTGCGCATGTGCGGGAGGACGCCATATGGCGTCCACCCGGAACGCTGATGACATTTGCCGCCCGCCATTCGGCTATAGGGCGGGCGGCAAATGGTTAACCACTTCAACACCGGGCACTTTTACCTCCTTCCTGCCCAGGCCATTTTCAGCTTTCAGTGTTGTCGTACTTTTTGACAATTGTGTGGTCATGCAACAAAAAAAAAAAAAAAATCTTTTTTTTTTCCACACAAATTGAGCTTTTTTTTGGTGGTACTTAATCACCACTAAGTTTTTTTTTTTTTTTTTTTTTTTTTTTCTTTTTTGCTAAATAAACAAAAAAAAACCTGAAACTTTTGGGGGGAAAAAACACATTTTTCTTCTTTTTCTGTTTATAAAATTTAGCAAATATCATTTCTTCATTAATTTAGGTCAAAATGTATTCTGCTACATTTCTTTGGTGGAAATACCGCAAATTAGTGTATATTATTTAGTCTGTAGGAAAGTTGTAGTCCACAAACCATGGTGTATATATCTGACAATTGATCAATCCTGATGTACTGACGGCAATCTTATTTCTTGAGGCCCAAAAACACCAGGCTATTACAAATTCCCCCCAAATTACCCATTTTTGGACAGTCCAAGGTATTTAGTAAGAAGCACGGTGAGTTTTTTGGAGGTTGTAAATTTTTGTTACAATTTTTTCTAGAAATGTTTTTTAAAAAATGTAGAAATTAAAAAAAAAAACACTTTTTTTTTTTTTTTTTACATATTGTCAACAGTCCAGTACAGTGTTATTATATAATTGGTGAGGCAGTGATCAAGGACACTGACTGGTGACAGTATTTTAAAAACATTATTACATTTTTTTTTATTTTTTTTTTTAACACACTGACCAAAGCAATACAATGTTACCATAGTAACGTTGAACTACTCTGGGCAAGTGATCAGGATTTTTTTTATTTTTTCACATGATTACTAATACCAATGTATTTAATTGATATTTGCAATCATTGTTACTGAATGAAACTAATTAATTCAGTCTTTTGTTAATTAGCTGTGATTGGGCAAAGCTCATCACATGATACCGATGGGCTGTGATTGGCCCTGTCTGTACTATGTGACTATATAGAAAAAAACCGTAAACGTATATCATTGTGCGTAGTGAACAAATACTCCAATAAATACCAAATATACATACAAAACCGTGCAGATCCTTGTGTCATAAGTTACAAACGCATGTGCCCAAACATGCGTTGAAATTATCCAGGATTAAACATATGTCCATCAAAAAAATTGAAGTATATTGAGTTCCAAATTCATCATAAATCGCTCATACATCCACGTGGTGAACTTGCTGTATGCTGTGTTTGAAATTAACCGTACGTTAGTAAACAAAGTTTTTATAGTGAATTGTGCCTCTTTAATCACATGCCGCCCAGCCACCGCATATAAACGGTGGCAGGGCGGCGCTCGTAGGCAAAAGCACGTTTTAAAACGTGTGCCTACAAAACAGGCAGGGGGCGCGCGCGAGGCACGCGCCCGCCCTACCTGTCCCGCAGGTGTCAGCAGCGGGTCCCCGCCGCCGGGTCACGGCCGGTTTTTACCGGCCGTTTTCCGGCGATGAGCGGTGAACACTGAAACAGAGCAGGGCTGCATTGTTTACACACAGCCCTGCTCTGTGACAGTTCGCCGCCAAGCTGCAGAGGGAGAATACAGTTTCTCTCCCTCGATCAGCTCCCCCCTCCCTCCCCCCGTTCAGTACACACCCCCGCCCCCTTAGTAAAACACTCCCCTCACACAGTGAACACTAAAAATGTTAACCCCTTCCTCCCCAGTGACATTAGTACAGTTTCAGTGGGTTTTTTTCACTGATCACTGTATTGGTGTCACTGGGGATGTCAGTGACCCCAAGTCAGCTCCCCCCCCCCCCCCCCCCCAGTGTCAAAATGTCCGCCGCAGTCCCGCCATAAGTCGCTGGTCGCTGTCATATGTCGCTGATTGCCGCTATATGTCGCTGATCGGCGCCATTATTAGTATAACTAAAAATTAAAAATCCCAGTATCTTTCCCGCCATTTGTAAACGCTATAACTTTCACGTAAACCAATTAATTTACACGTATTGGGGGTTTTTTTTTTTTTTTAGCAAAGACATGTCGCAGAATACATTTTGGCAGAAATTTATGACTAAATTTGATTTTTGCATTTTTTTTTTTTACTGGACATGTTTTATAGCAAAAAGTCCAAAATATTGTTTTTTTTTCCTCAAAATTGTCAGCCTTTTTTTTTTATATAGCGCAAAAAAAAAAAACGCACAGGCGATCAAATACCACCGAAAGAAAGCTCAATTTGTGGGGGAAAAAAAGGATGTAAATTTCATTTATGTGCCGTATTGCATGACCGCACAATTGTCCGTTAAACTAGCGCAGCGCTGTATAGCAGAAAAATGGCGTAAATTGCAGTATCTATACCATAGTTTGTAGACGCTATAACTTTCATACAAAGCAATCAATATACACTTATTGGGATTTTTTTTTACCAAAAACATGGAGCAGAATACATTTTGGCCTAAATTTATAACCAACTTTGAGTTTACTATATATTTTTTATAGCTGAAAGTAAAAAATATTGTTTTTCTTCAAAATTTTTGGCCTTTTTTTGTGTATAGCGTGAAAAATAAAAAGCGCACAGGTGATCAAATACCACCGAAAGAAAGCTCTATTTGTGTGAAAAAAAAGGACGTAAATTTCGTTTGGGTGCAGCATTGCATGACCGCGCAATTATCAGTTGAATTAGTGCAGCGCCGAGTAGCAAAAAGAGGCGTGGTCATTAAGGGGGGTAAATCCTCTGGAGCGGTTAGTACTGCCGTGCTTCATGTGATTTTCAAATCCAACCAAAGTGCAGTAGTGTCCCTCTTCAGTGTCCACACACCCCCGACACACTATTGCGCTCATCTTAATGTCTGACCTGTATCCCAGGTCAAACTACGCTTTTCCCTTTCGACCAGATAGGTATATAGATGTAACTGCTCTTCCACCATCAGCTTACTATCTCCTCCAACTCCACTCCATACATATGAAAAAAATACTCCTCAGAGTGTAGTATTGTGAATAAAACACCTTTATTAAAATACAAATAAATACAAAAATAAACTCCTGTGTGTTTGAATGCTGTTTTCCTATACCAAGATGGCGGCCCGTGTATTGCGGCTTGACATTACCAGCGTACTCTATGCGTTACGTCACATGTTGTGACTTCATCGTAACAAAAATTGTGTTCTAAACAAAATCCTAGGCATCTTCTTTGTATTTCTTTTGTTTGTTATCCATATGAGTATTCCTGTCGAGCGCCCATTTGACTGCTTCCTATGATCAATGATCGTATATAGCGATCTTACATCTGCCGTGGCCATTATTAGATTTTCAGTATTCTCCATTTCCTCCAAAATTGCAAAACATGTTTGGTATCTTTTAACCACTTCCAGACCGGACACTTTTGCCCTCTTCCTGTTCAGGGCAATTTTCAGCTTTTAGCGCTATCACACTTTGAATGACAATTGCGCGGTCATGCAACACTGTACCCAAATGAATTTTTTACCATTTTTTTGAGATAGATAAAGCTTTATTTTGGTGCTATTTATTCACCACTGGGATTTGTATTTTTTTTTGCTATGTAAATGAAATGTCCAAAAATTTAGAAAAAAAAGTGTTTTTTTTAATAAAATTTTGCAAATAAATAATATTTCATCATAAATCTTAGCCAAAATTTATTCCGTTATCTTTTTAGTAAAAAAAAAACAAAAACAAATTAGTTTATAAGCAAAAATTATAATTTTTAAACATTTTTTTTTACGTTTTTATTTTATTTTTTTATATTTTTTATTTTTATTTTATTTTTTTACATACTGT